CGGGGGCTGCGCACAGCACAGGCGGGACTCCGTGAAATTTCGCAGAAAAACGCAACTCGGGAGGGTAAGCAGCTTCACCCCGTCTTCCAATATTTTGTGCCGTCTCTTTCCACGAGTCCTCAGGGCTGCGCTGACCTGTTAGTAGCGTGCATGAAACACGACAGCCAACTCCACCTGCACTCGGATGGACATTGCCAACACGCAGCCCTGTCAAAAACTACAACCTGGAGACGCAGCAGGTTGCACTGAGCCTGCCTCTAAGATTTAAGTGCTCCCTCACTTTTCATCACGCATAAAAAACTCCTCTAAAGAAACAAGTTACTCCCCATCTATGATAACCTTTAATAGCTGACGGCTGGCCCTTATGTCCTCCGTTATTTTCCACATCTGGGTTTACATTTCTATGACTAAAGAGGAAGCAGTTTGGTGTCTGTTGCAGAAAGCTCAAGCTGTTGCAAGACAATTTGGCTTTGCATGTTTCTATTGCGGCCAAACTACAGCGCAGCAGTCAGGGAAGACCGACCCAAGTCCTGAAGTGCCAGGAGCAAGACAGTTTTAGCGCATTTCTCAACCCCTTGTAGCTCACGAAGTTCTTGCAGTCCCATTTCCAAGTGTTGGGTTGCATACAGATGGAGGAGGGAAGTATTCCACTACCAGGCTTCATCGGGTGCCTAGACATGAGGACAAAGATGAAAATGGGGTGAGGAAGCCAGGTCCCCGCAGCAAGCTTTGTAAAATGTGAATGGGCAACTCCAGAAGTATAATGAACTTGAAAATGAAACGTTCCAGAAAAGAAGGGGTCAAGTACCTGTGTCATTTGAAGACCTTGCTATGCATGTGTGATGAGAGAATATAAACTCTCCGCATAGGGTCCTGTTATGTAAAACATTTAAGTATAGGACTAGAAGGATCCTCTAGTCCATCCCGTCTCCAAAGCAGGACTAGGTCTAGCTCAGACAACCATGACTACTGTTTTTCCAACATTGTTTTGAACTCCTACGGTAAAAGTGACTCTGCTGTTTGTTATAAGGCCAAACTGTTTATTTGACTGCAAAAATCTCTTATTAAGTAAATTCAAGTTGCTGTAAATTGTATAGCTCTGCCTCAATGAACACGGAGGACAATTAATCACCATTTGCATAAACACGTATTACAAAGCTGTAAAGACCGTTCACTGTCAAACCCTTTCTTTTCCAGACTAAACTCTCCTGCAGTCTGTTTTCTTTTTGTTGCCTTTTTTTTTTTTAGGATTCTTTAATTATTCTAGAGGTGATGACTACACACTCCACAAACTGGACACAAGACAGATCACCGCTGCCATCCATGGCGTTTGGAACTTTTCACATCACCCCCATTTTGCTGACCCACCTCTGGTTTGAGGGCTGCATAAACCTCCAGATTGAGAACAGCTGCTTACACAAGCACTCCCGAGCTGGTAGTTGCATTTCATCTGTCCTTACAAGTGCAGCCTTTCACACCTAATTAGACCTTGTTGATTTCTCCCATTATAAGAATAAAAATGATATTGGAAAAAGTCTTCCACTTAAACAGTTTCTAAACTGATGTCACCTGTAAGTGTTTTAAGTTTATTCTGCTTTTCATCACCCACATACTTGTAAACATTGCATAGCACTAGTTCAAACCTCCACTTCGAGGATCGTTTAGCTTTGCCAAAGAAATGGCAATTACTATTGTATGAATGTAGTTCTTCAGTCAGTTGCATATCCATCTTAGAGAAGTTTCAGCCAAACCCTATTTCTCTAATTTATTTACGAAAACTGTAACAACATCCAGCTACACGCTGTCATGTTGCCCCGCTCCCATCCACCAGGTCAGTTGGAAGTTAGACTGGTGTTACAGAGATGAAGTTTCCTTGCAGCCTTTGGCTACTGTATTAGCTGAGGCTATAACCAGGAGAGAAGTTAGATACTAGAAAACAATATTCTTGAAGTCTAGATTTACTGCTGTTGGCGGGTGGAGGGGGTAGGTTGGTTAGGTTTTTTTAATGACAGCTGCTTGCTTTAATGAAACATTTTAGGAAGCCCCTCTCCTGTTTTTAAAAGCCTGTAATTGCCCATCAGACTGCAGCAAGGGATTTTTTTTATTTTTTTTAAAAAGAGATTACACCAGCATTATGAAACTTTGCTTACAGCTGCCTCTCAATTCTCAGGATTACTGCTTTGAAATATTATTACTGCATATAGTCAGCAGTTCTAAGTTCATCCTTAAGCATAACTTTCATTTTACATCTATGTAATTTTATAAACAAATTCAAGAATATTTGTTTTCATAATATTAAAATAACTGCTAGTTGAATGCTCCATCTTCGTGCCTAGTCAAGCCTTTGCATGCTTCTGATCTTGATTTGCAAATCATTTTCAGAAGCATATGCAGGAAGACTCATGTCACCGAATATTGAAAATTCTGAAAAATTTTCCTACTCAGCTCTTGGGATGGTGCAAAGATACAAGGAGAGGCAAACAAGATGGTCACGGTATGAAAAAGTGCCACTGCAGGGAACAGTATTAAACATATTCCTTAAATATGTTAAAATAAACTTATTCCATATATATGGAATCATAATAATTTAGCTGAAAACAGCCTGTCAAGAAAGTGAAAAATAACCTTTTGTAGTTGTGTTTAATCTTTAGCTTCCTTGAGAAAGATATCTGCAAGCCAGAGGGAAACAGAAAAAGAGAAGCCTCTTTCAAGTTTCCCCTTCAAGAGAAGAACCCAATACCACGCAGCTGGAAGACCTAGCTTAACCGCAGTGCCTAGAAACAGCAGAAGAGGATTGGTGCTGTAAAGTTCATCCTTAAGCAAATTCCTAAGTGAAGAAACTCATAAGAAATTATGAATTTGAAGCTGTATTCCCAATACCTGCTAGAAAGAACTCTCCCTCTTCATTTCTATCTTAGCCATCCAGGGGTTTCCCAAGAAGACTCCCAAGTATTCCCACTGTGCCTCATCTACAAATTGCTGCCCTGTTACAACTATACTGCTACCCATCCCCTGCGATGTGAGGATACCAGGAAGCTTCTCCGTCAGCCTGCATATCCACACCCAAAGCAGCAGCTGGAATTGACAAAACTGACTAATGCAGTATTACCAACAGGATCCTCACTGCATGAAGATGAGCTGACAATTTTGACCAAAAAAGTCTGGTTAAGTTTTCCTTAAGAGGCCTCTGTCTCCTGTATCTGCTCATCAAAAATTAGGAGCAGAAATGCATAGAGGCAGAATGAGTTTATACCGGTAACAGAATATTCAATTGTTCAGTTTACTACACAGTAAGGTTTTGGCTTTATTACAGTGTTTCCTCTTTTCCCATTAACAAGGTTTTGAGTGCAACACTGGTGCTTACTAGTTTTTCCAGTGTCCAACCCGTATGTCGTTTAGGCCCACTCCTTCTTACCAATTAATGCATTTAATACAGGCCCATTTTATATTCAAAGCATTTATATTTCCACTTAGTGCTGCTTCTTCTAGGTAAGGGCACTTCAATTCCTTTGGCCTTAGAGAGTCATACTGCCAAACTAATTCACTCAGTTTAGGCCCCTTTTATATCCAAAATCTTTCAAATTTCTATTTTGTATTTCTTCTTGTAGGAGAGGACATCTCAACTCCTTTGGCCCTTCTTGATAGTACAGCTATGATCAGCTGGAGAAAATACCAAGGAGAATAACTATCCACATTCTCCTTGAACTGTCATGGTCAGAAGTGGGTATTTAAGGCTATAGTCTTACAGGGCTGAATGATGACACCGATTCTAGTGCTTGTTATTGTTTACAGGAAATACTCCAGCTTACCATTCTCAGTCTGTTTGCTTTTTCTGCAGTGCTGTTGCCTAGCAATCATTCCCCATTCTGTACCCGCACTCAGTACTGAGATTCACGTTTATTTCCACACCCACTTCTTCCACATCACCTCTCCAATTTGTAACGATCATTTTGAATTCTAGTCCTGTCCGTGTACAGCTTAGGGTCATCTGCAGAATTATAAACACACGTTATGTTTCTTCATTCGAATATCCAATGATACCAGATCTGCTGGAGACAGAATACAATAAAAGGCTTATCACCAAGTTCATTTCCCACATCTGTGGGATCAAACCATGATAAACATTGCTGAAATTGCACACTAGAAAATGGAGCAAGTAAACTGTGAAAAATAATTTATTGTACTAATTTTAAACAGTCAGTAACCTTAATTTTATGTTCAGAGATAAATATTCCAAACATGTCTCATACAGGCAAATATTTTGTGAGCTCTTCTTTTAACAGTCTCAGCTAAAAACATGGTTGCAGATGAACATGAGTTCCAAGTGATAACTCACACTGTACAAACTAAATACAACAAGCAACCATCTTCTCTTTCCATCTCAAACAGGGCACAGGAACTCTGTCTCTCACAAGAAAGCATGCACCAAGTGAATAAAGGCACCAGGTGCTGTACCATGAGACAGCTAAGGTATACCAGTCACTACCAGTATTCCAGTGTCACCTGTAGTTCTCGTCCCAGACACTTCTTGTTGTATGTTCAAAAGCATCCAAAACAAGCACTTCGTGTTACCTCTGACATTTAAAATTAACATTAGTGCTTCTCCAACGGGATCTTCTAACATCTTCTTTTCCTCTTGGGGAGAGATACTTCTGAAAGGAAATAAAGACATTTTTCTGACAAGTTTTTCAATCTATCTTCCTCATGGGAATGATTAAAGTAGAATTAATTCTGCCCAGCAAAGGAAATGAATTAGTTGAGTCTTGAGATCCCCTCCCAATCCCTCTTCCCCATGGTTTTAAATATGAAAAAAAGCTTTTCTAGATTCTATAGCACACTATCATTCAAAATATCAATTAAAATTCCATTGATGAACAAAATGCTGTACTTCAAAACTTAGTCAATCTTGAGAGCTTTCTGCTCCTCATGAACACCTTTACAATTTCATTACGAATTTGGCAAATGGAATACTCACAAAATTAAGCACAAAGTATCTCAAGAGATTACTTACGGCAATTAATAAGTAATACTTATTGTATTACTTATAAGTAATACAATAAGTATTACTTATACTTACACATTTTTAATGCTTCAGAATTTGCTGGCAAGTTCTGAGAAATGGAGAATGTTCCTGATTTAGAAAGAAACTTTTTGTCCACAACAACTTGAAGCAAAAGTAAATAAAGTACAATATTAAATGCACCATTGTGCCTTCAATCTGACCATTTAAAATTGAATGAATTCACGTTGTCTACAACTAAGGTGATCAGAGAATGTAATCTCATTTTAGTACTACAAGATGTTCTTTTGCTTTTAAAAAGAGCAAATATAAATGTGCTACCTCACTACAAGTGTATTTTAAGAGTTATTATGCTCCCTTGTATGAAATATCCTTCCATTGCATGCAATTTCTTCACTATGAGGGTGGTGAGACACTGGCACAGGTTGCCCAAAGAAGTTGTGGATGCCCTCTCCCTGGAAGTGTTCAAGGCCAGGTTGGATGGGGCTTTGAGCAACCTGGTCCAATGGAAGGTGTCCCTGCCCATGGCAGGGGGCTTGGAACTAGGTGATCTTTAAGGTCCCTTCCAACCCAAACCATTCTATGATTCTATGAATTTTGGATAGTAAATTAACTCCAAAAGATGTACTCCTCACACTCATCTATGTCATTAAAGCTTTCCAGAAGTAGTACTTAACACTTTGCTCCCCCTTTAAGCAACCTAATTAAATACTACTCTTTCAAGTTAAGAACCAGTACCTCTGGTCTATCAAGTCTGCCTTCCACTCTGTAAGCAACACCCATCAGTCTTAGACTAGTTAGAACTGCCAGTGGAAATCACGCCTTCAGCTGGCCAGCTCCTCTCCCAGGAACACTACCCGTGTTTGAGACATGGCAGCAAAGCAGTACCTCAAGATAAAGACGACACAATTTTCGTTGTACAGTGTCTGTTCCATGGTGCTTATATTCTCCTCAAGCAATACTGAGAACAGACCCTGAAGCTTCTGAGCTGCAGACCAGTTCAAGATCATCTAACATCTCAATTTGTACTATATGCATTTGATGCTTCCATAGAGCAACTCCACCACCAGCTTTAAGAAACCTGCTTTACCATTGCTTCCAAATAAAAATTACATTATTTCCAGTAACGTGAGTCATAGCAAAGTCATTCACTCTTCTGCTGCGGTTCCCAGAATCCTACCCCAACTATGTCAGACAACTTCTAATATAGCAGAGGACACTATTACTGTACCTGTATACTGGAACTTAACCTTTGAAGCATTGCCCAGCTGAAAGTAAGGCTATATGGGAAACTTCTATGTGCCCTCACTTCCACAAAGGTGAAGGCAGCAAGGGCTATTCGGACCTCGAGCACAGGTTACGTAAGTTCCCAGAGCTACTAGAACAGGTATCTTCTGTAAGCGGGAGAATGACCAAAAAAATCACTTTTCCCTATACATTGGAGCTCTTCAAGCCAGATTTGTATTATAGAAGAGTAAGTCTACTTTAGACTGGACCAATTTTAACTCATTATAATAAAATCTATGTAGAAAAAACATGACTCACAGGATTTTGCCACCACATGTGTGCTCGTAACAAAGTCTCACAGCAAAGCTGCAATTTTCATGCAACAATTTACAGGCTAAAAACTAACCTAGCTTTTGCAAGGCAGCAACACACGGTCCAAAATATTAGCCTTAGTTTCAGAAAAATACAGTATAGTAGAAAAACAAGTCACTGGTTTGTTAGAATTTCAATCATCGTACCTTCTTCATCTGAGTTATCTTCTTCTGTGATTATAGGCATCCCAATATGCCGACTAACAGTTTCCTTTGCCACTTGCATTTCACCTGCAGATAGATTTTTTAGGAAAAACTGTCAGCTTTTTTTTTTGCTTCTACATCTCAGGTCCAGCAGTTAAAAGATTATTCACTTGCTGCTCTCTTGACTGTCTAGTCAAAAGCTGTGGAGAAACACCTACGTTTCACAGTACCTTCACATGGCTCACTAAAGAAACCTTCAATAACAGGTAATTAACACTACAAGTTTAAAGCATAATCACCAAATCAGTCCAGAGATAATTCAAAATGCCCTATTCCTCTCCAACACTTCATCTACTGTTTTAAAGTGAAGCAAAGGCAACACTGCCTAATGTCCACCTCTGAAGAGGGTTGAATTTTCTCAGTTACTTTTTTTCTAGCAGAAGCTCAGTAAGTCAGAAAACAGAGTTTGGAACTTTGAAATGAAATCCCTGTCTTCAAAATAAAGTTCATTCAAAACTCTTTTGCTGTTCAATTTCATCTAACCTTTAATAAATAATAAATACATGAAAAAAACTTAAATGGCAGAGCAACTTCTATCAGTTTAAATGTTGGATATCAGAAAGACGATTTCCTTCAGAGAAGTAATTTCCCATGTTTTCAGAACTGGGAGACAAAGAGATCTAAAGAAAGCCTTGGAAGACAAAAGAAAAGATGCATAAGCAGGGATGCGCAAATACCTAGAAAGTAAAACTGCACCAATCCAGATGACATAAATGCTATGATAGTAAAATAACTCTCCCTCTCCTTCCTCACCTCCTCTTTTGATCTAGCAGAGTACCCTCACACCAGGTCTTATCTCACATTGAAATGAGTCAGTCCTCAAGTTCTGAGACTTGATCTCTTGCAGAATATATTAACATAAATGATGACAGCATACCACAAGAATCCATATAAATGGCTAATCCTTTAAGTTCTTGGTCTCACCATCATACTTTCAATGAACTTCACAAATAAAAGAAATGAAAAAGATATTAACTTAGCAGCTTTGGATCCAGTAAGTCAATTTTTTAAAAAAAAAAAAAAACTTCTGGTCTGAGGCAGAAAGGAGTTCCCAGTCCAATTTTCTCACTTTTAAAAACATTCACCATATCCTCACTTACTCCATTATACTTATTCTCTCTATAGGCATTTTCGCTCTATAGGCAGCCATTCTTGTCACCCACAAAATTCTATCCTCTCCACAGTATTCAAGGGGAGCTTTAATATTCCATAATATTTCTTGTTAAAAGTTTGAAGTCTCTTTCTGACTACATTAAGCAAGGGCCTTCACTGAGCGCATACAGGGACATCCCAACGCTTCTTGTATCAGTAGAGATAAACCAGAACGATACCAAGCACAAGCAGTTAAAACTATTTCCTTCCAGGGTGCATTTCAAAGTAAGAGAAAAGGAGCCAGAGACTGGACATAAGTACTCTGTACCTGTTTTTAAAAAGTTTGCTCCTTAAAATTGTTTTTATTCCTAGCTAAAATTATAATGCTCAGGAGAAATAGAATAGAATTACAGAACAGAACCACAAAAAACGTCACAGGTGTATAAAAAAACCCTTCTGTCAAGAAGGGAAAAATTAAGTCTAGCTATAAACTAAACAAATCTAGAACTGCTATAATGTAATAATTGCAATACTGAGATTAAGGAAACAATTTGATAAGAGTTTTGAAACTACATAGTTGATGACAAAATATTTGTATTCTCATGGAAGCGCTAAAAATTTCAGTAACAAGAACAAAATAAATAACAAGGAGATGAAAGGAGAATGACTGATGTGATGGTGCAGGTACTAGCCTTATAAAGCAATCATTCTCATTAAGACATCAATATAATTTTCTCTTCAGAAATATTAAAGGATATTCCTTCAAGATCTCAGGAACAGAATAGAAACAGGCAAGGTTTACTTTGGATTTCATGAACATAGTATGAACTATCAAAATTATCAGATAGGCTGATTTTCATCAAAAAACCAGCTTCAAAAGTAGAAGCTATCTGTCAGAAGAAGAAACAGTTAACACATATCTTAATCTCCAGTATGTTTGTTATATGGCAATAGGAAAAACTGAGACACTGCCGCACAGGCCATGCTTTTCCAAGGTCATGGCTTTCCAGAGTAAAATTAGCAGGACTATGTATGAGACTTCAGATTAACAATAAAACTGCATGCGCTCATGTTGGCTTGCTACCTGACCGGAGTGCGGAAAACAGACAGAAAGGTCCAATTACGATAGGGCTATCACAAAACATTTCTTTATTCTTCTGCCTCCACTGATCAACAGTAAAATTTAACCCAGCTGCCCCAGCTAGCAAAGCAATGGATAAACTTTTGCAGACCCTCCAGGTTCACGAATGCAATGGAGAAATACCTTTGACTTCCAAAGAATCTCTCCTCCTTGCTGGCTGTGGTCTCCGACTGTTTTTTTTACTTCGGTTTGGAGATTTCCCATAATTCGATCCTGATTCAGAAGATTCTAATTTTACTTGACGATGTCTTCTGGATTTGGAAGCCTAGAACCCAAACGTACATATGAATGATACAAAAAAGCTAAACTTCTACAGCCAGATATTACTGTATGTCACCCAGTACTTTACAAGTCAGCAAGGACCAAAGCATCAATTGCCACGTCAGGCTGGAGAAGGCATGGAAGGGGAGGGAGGGAGGATTTCCATCCACAGTTACTGTCCTTCAGTTTTAACAGGACAACACCATTCTATGATTTAATGGGTGTACCACTCAAAATTCAGGTAATGAAACATTTATTTATTTTCAAACCATTCTCTGTTGGCATCAACCTACACCACGTTGCACATCGCTGTGTGCAAGCAAAAGGAACACTTCCAAAAACTGCTGCACCATAAAGCAGTTATGTCATATATTACTGTCATATTTTGCTTAGGTGCCTAGAAAACAGTATCACTGCGTATTCACAAGTCTGGCCTGTTGTACATTCCAGAGCTCCGCTTCAGTTAATAATGCATTTTTCAATAAGAGATTTTAATAAACAAGGAAAGTTGTGATGTTTCTCATAGGCCTGCTATAAAAAAAGACAAATCAACAGTATCTTTAAAGTAGCAGTTATTGAAACAATGTTTCCAAGAACTTCCAACGGACTTTAAACCCCCAAGTTCCATTTTCGCAAGCATCTTCAGAGATTCCAATATCTAAGCTTCAAGAAATTTGAGCAGTTAAACTCACAAGTATTTTTATTCCATCTACTTAAAAATCCATCTACTTAAATGGAGCGCAGACATTAAAAGATATCTTGTAAATTAAAATCCCCCGAGCACAGACCATATCTGCACTGTTTCCATAAATCTAACAAGAATAATAAGAACTTCGGGTTTCCCCAATGCGTCAGGAAAACCAGAACATTCAAAGGTTGAATTACAGAGTGCAATTTTAACTCATTCCTTTCTGACCCAGCATTTACATTAAACTGGTACTTAAAACCATTCTTTAAAAATAAATACATCCCTATCATCAAATTTTATACCTACCTCAACAACTGCAGAGTAAGACCTGTATTTGATCCTAGCCAATGCATTTGCTCTTTCAGAACCCTGCAATGAAACAGAGATCAGTCAGAAAAAAGTTTTCATATTCTATTATAGCAGTATTTAAATGAAATATCACATCAGACAATCACTTGAGCAATATCTCACTACAGCTGTAATTCTATAATTATAATTAGTTCTATATAATTAGAATGCCGACGAACTGTTACTTAAAGAAAAAAGTTCAAATTTCATTAAAAAGGCAGACCATAATTTTGGTTGCCTTCACTGTTACAAAGTCCAGGAGGAGAAAATCAACTTTGAAACTTCACATCTTACTCAAATTCAAAGTTGAAATAAGCACATAAGTACAACATGAGATAATTTGGTATCATAAAAAATGGATATGGCGTTTAGTTGAAACTCCAGGAGGAACCATAGAGGAGTTTGGCCAAGAAAATACAGCTCTTTCTCCTCCTTACCTGAAAGACACTTTTTATTACAAGCATCCAAGAGCTATCACAGCAGTGAATGCTCACAGCTTAACAGAAAACAATACGATTTAAAAACAAAAACAAAACGAAACACCAACCACCCAACCAGCCCCACTAGCTATTCCTGGAATTTACTCTGACACTATCAAGCCTTGACATACACTGTTTAGCCTGTGACCTGAAGTCAAGAAACTAATGGATTTGGCCTGCGCAACGTAGCAAACTAGTTCATTTTTCTTACCTCTGATTCTAGCAAAATCCCTTCTTCCTTTTTGTTTGATATTTCATCAGTTTCTTTAGCATTTAGGAATAATTTCTGAAAAAAAAAACCACAAAATAATTTTTTAAAACGTCTGTCATATACAAGGCAGCTAAAATTCAAGAATTGTGAAAAACAAAACAAATATTTACACATACACACATTTTCTTCATCAGTCTTACACTATGGCCTTTCCTTGACCCAACAATAAGTGTTACAGAGGTATTTCATACAGTCATTCTAATACTTCCCATAAGTCACATCTTCCAGGGCCTACCTCTCAGCAATCACTTATGTTACCATAGAGGCAGTACCACACACAAGTCCACGTCCTTCTCCCCATACCATATTTCTGCCTAGGGTTTTACTCATTCCATGTCTTCAGCGTTACAGTTTCTTCTACTTAAGTCTGAGATTTATGAAGTGTGCACAGAGGTAATTACACTAAGACAGTCAGTTCTTACATATTCACACAATCTGTTAAGTTGCCACAGCACAATGGTTGATATTACCTACCATTCTGTTCTGCTGCCATTCCTGATGTTCCAAGGTTATGTCTTTAAGAGTAACTACAAATTCATCTTTTATCAAGCTCAGGGCCTTGTCTGGCTGGGATTTGTCAGCTGAAATGACACACTTCATTTTCTGATAGTGGTCATGAATATTCATCAGTTCCTAAAATAAAAAGAAAGAGACTCTTTCAGGAAAAAAAGATTCCAGCAGTAAAGCAGTATTAGTCCTCAGTGAACAAAACCAGGGTTATACAAACCATTCTAAGGAGACCATTGAACCAGCAGGAGTGTTAGAAACAGATTCTGTTTGTATCAGTTCAGTTTTAGGGAGTCTAGCAATACTGCTACCTAGCACTGTCCCATCAGTCCATCAACTAAGCAAAAGGAGAAAGAGTATTTTTCATTATTTAAACTAAGAAGGAAGTCTCAGTGATGCTCAGGATCAGCGTTCATAGAGGTTTCATTCTGATATGGTGGTCTACGTTCATCAGTTTGGAGGAAGCATTTTAATACCTCCTTTTGAGGAAGGTCTTCTCACCCTGTCATTTCACAGATTACAGATTTTTCTACCACTGTAGCCAACCTTACTGATGGTACATATTTGCTAGCAGCAACTGGAAAAACCCGTAAACAAAGATCTACTACTGAGTCATAACGAGCAATATAAGAACCTATACTTGGCTTGAACTCCTCCGTTTTTTATAAAACCTGTTATATATTAAACAAAACCAAGTTTTAAAAGGAGAAATAAAGGTTAGAGAAGGCTATAAACTTGCAGATGGGTAAATTTATATTACTGCAAGTATCAAGCCTCCAGCTGCAACCTGCAGACATATCAAAACAAACATGCTTCCCCCCACCCACCATTTTCCATTTTTCTCTGCCTAAGTGACAGCTGACCATTTACACCCTTCCCCTTTTACATCTTACTGAGGCAAAACGACAAAACATTAGAGCATATTTCAGTATTGAAAAAGGTACCACAATTCTTCCAAAATAAATGCTGTGTTTCTGAGCGTTCAGTAAAATTGCTGGCACAGACTATTACCCTAGTCTGCATTCCATAAGAAGACTTACAAAGGACAAGACTGTGCTAATTAGAGAAGTTATAGCTTTTGGACAACAGAAGGAAAACAAGACAAAACAAAGAAAACCCCCAGTGATCAATCTGTAGTTTAAAAGTTCCTGTACCTCCAGTACATCATTAGTGATGAGGCTGTTTACTCTGTTACTTGGGTCCTTAAATTCCTCTTTAAATTCGTTTTCCTGAATCTTCTTCTTAGTTCTGTAGTTTAGCTAAAGCAAGAGACAATGCTTTGTAACTTAAACAGCAAACTTAAAATGGCACCTTCTCTTGAAAATTCTTACTGCATATCCAACCATCAAAAGATGCTGAAAGGCATAAAACCACCTCATCAACAACAGTGCGCAGCTTTACTGCCAAGTGCTCCGAGTCAGCACTTTTCAAAAATTATTCCCTAGTCAAGAATTCAATCCAGCACCCAGACTTAAGAGTTTGACATTTCCACAAATTATAGGACATCTCAAATCTAGTAAGAACATTAAATACCAAAAAAATATTTTCAGGTGAGAAGCATGCTACGTTCAAACATCCTCTAAGCTTTACATCACATACCTAGCTACATAAAACAAGACATACTACGTTTCAGCACAGCAAAGCTAAACTAAACACGAATGCTGTTGAGCTGTCAGCCATTGAAAGCTGAAGATATTTTATTAAAAATGGTAAGTCATTAACGTAGTAACTCACTAGCTTTGGCATTGCTGTGAAATGGAATGCTCTGGAAAGTCGCAGTGTCCTAAAGATGTATGCTGCATCATAATGCTGGGAGTCTATCAGATCCTGTCGAAATCTCTGGATTTCAGGCCAATCCTTGAGCGCGATTCTGATCTGCAACAGAACAGCTGTATACTGTCATACCGACCCGCATATTTCAACAAATGAAAATGAACTCAGCTGACTACTGTGATCATGTTATACTATGCACAATACTTGGATGTCTAGGGTGTAACATGACACATGATCACGGAACTACAGAAAGGATCCTACTATAACATTTGTTACTACTATCAAAATTTTATGCAGATAAGCTTATTGTACTGTTGTGTTAAATATTCTCACTGCAGTTGCCTTCTTTGACAGTGACATGGAACACAAGCCCTCTTTGACATTTAAAAAAGTTAACCCTTCACATTCCGAGATGCCTGAAACAATACGCACCTAGGAGACTCTCACTCACTAGATGATTAGGAAATAACACTCGTACCATGATTCACTGCCAGCGAAATGCTCACAAAAGTATCCCTACCTTCTTGCTTTCCTTCCTCTCCCATGTATTCTGCCCACTTCCTTTTCTCTCTACCTAAGTTAGCTTCTTTGATAATTCCTGGACTCTCTAACAGTTGCTATATAGCCGTGGTTTTAAAATTCTCTAAATTCATCTCCATAAAAGGTGTTGATTTCTTTGAAGTTAAGATATGAGATGTAATGTAGAATTGTAGAATACTTAAACTTCAGTTTCTTATTTAAAGAATTTGGACTCAATTGTGCATATGCATACAACATACATCACACAGTTTCCAAGTAAACCACTTCTTGCACTGAGTTTCCAACTCCTTTATATACTGGTCTCCTGTCCTAGAAGCAGCAAGGAGACATGTCATTCAGGCATTCACCCTTTCAACCTATTTACGAACTCCACTTCTGGTTAACAGGAACTGGAAATAATTCAGCCAGTCTTCATTCTGTTGAAATTCTAAGGAATAACTGGGGCTGTAATGGAGTTCTCCACAGAGCTGATGAGCACATGCTCTGTTCCCATTTTGAAAGCTCGTCTTCTTCATTTTTGAACAGAGAAGAGCTTCCTATCTGGCAAACGACTTCTGAGATCACAGCTACAATTTAGGAGGCATACGCAATAGTTTAGTCCCCACCATGTAAGTTCTCAAACCCAAAGGTGTTTGAAAGGCTACCTTTTCCAAAGGGTTCTAAATATTTTTCTTTTAAGAAAGTGAGAGAAAATGCCCTACCCATTTACGATGACAAAGTAGACAGACTTATACCATATATCTTACATCTAGTATCTCCTGGAATAAAACCTCAAGAACAATTACCTTTTGTTTTGGCTGGCAAAGCTGTGTACTATAGAGCCCATACAAAAGGTACAGAGCACCAACTCGAATCTGGAAAGCGTACGGGGGCAAGAAGTACTGCTGTGCCAGTTCTAAAGTCTTCTTTGTGAGCTTATTCCTCTCCAAAGCTCTTATTCTACCACTGAAGTAAACAAAAAGGAAGCACGTTAAAGCAAGTAACTATGAAAGTGCAGGCTTTAGAAAATCCATAATGCAGAAACAAGTTTTAGGTATTTTAAAACATATTACCACAGGGCTCAAGTTCTGGGAAGTCTTCAAAGATAGCCAGACCTTAAGCTCTCACACAACACTGCATGTAATTCCTTGTATTAAGTTAGATGTAAAGTGAAAAATTGAATACACTACAATCATATTTTTTAATCTCATATCACGAGCATTGCATCAAAATCCCTGAAGCAGCAGCGTTCAAGTCACATGCATTGCTAATGTACAAAATAAACTGAACTAATAACCGTTTTTCAGTATTACACAGGGACCGATGCTGCATTGCCACTTACCTACACACCAGTCAGGCAAACCTTTCCCAAAAACCATGCCTGAAGGGAAACAGGGCTCACCAACACCCCCCTTTAAGGTCCCCCGCGCTACCAAGGGGCAAGCTCAGCAGCGGGGAGCTGTGGGCTTTGGGCGGGGGAAGACACACTCC